GGATGTCTCTCCTCAAGACTGAACACTGGATCTTATTTGATTGATATAAACCAGTTCTCAACCAGGGCGATACTTGTGCCCAGCGGACATTTGGTAACGTCTGAAGATATTTCTGTTTGTCAAAGTTGGGAGAGGGAGAGTGTTACCGGCAGCTAGTGGGTAAGAGCCAGGGATGCTGCTAAATGTGTACAACACAGCCCCTTGAAACTAAGAATTATGAGGCCCGCTTGTCAGTAACGCTGAGGTTGAGAAACCACAATCCTGGAGTAAGGCTCACAGCCCTTGCTCTGCCGGAATCATACTTGAGAGTAATTACAATTAAGGATACAGATTGCACTGGCTGGTGATTTTGCCTGTGTTCTGCCAGTCTGGCTAGGATTACTTCTCTATCAATGGAAAGTGACAGGTGCATAAGTCCTCCCAGTTGGTGCCAAAAAAATGCCAGGTGTATCCCTCATACTGCATCTAGGCCATCTCCTTGATGTGCCAACATCCATACATCATTAATGATCTTCCAGACACTGCTTTCGTAAGATGTTTGCATTCTTGCTCGGATTATCTTTCACTCCTGGCGCCAACCACTTGAGCACATTTGTCGGCTATTAAGAGTCCTATGATAGTTCGTTCTTTGAGATTTTTTTACTTTCTATATACTACTTTTAATCTCTCTCACTATTGTCATTGACAAAGCTGGCTTTGTCTGATTTGGGATTATGCTATTTTATCTTGGTTGTACTACCTGTCAGTCCCTTAGTAAACAGTGACAGTAATCTTTTGAACCAGGCTGAGGCCCAGTCAAGGGTGGACAAACACATGTATCTCTTATCTCGCTGTGGTCTCATTTTTCTGCTTGTCTGCCTTGGTCTGAGCTTGTTTTGAGAACTGTGGTGCATCTCGCGTCTCAGCCTGGGGAGGTCTGGTTGATTGCATGTTTTCTCAGAGACAGCTGGGCGCTTCACAGGGTGTGGCTCTCCATCCCTGTCATCAGGGTAATTCCCCTTCACATCTCCAATACAGATGGAGAATGGCGAAATTAATAATTCACAGTATTCGTATAAGTGGCGATCCTTCCTAGACTGGGACATATTTGCTTTTTGTTCAAAAATATCTCGATGAAGAGAGGCCCAATGGTGAGCTAGGAGCTAGAAGTAGGGAAACTGGATTACAAAAATGAATAAGACGGTCTTAAATTGTCAGCAATCAGCAATAACCCGCTCAGTGCTCATTGTACTGGTTGATGTTTGGATCGTGGATGCAGAAATGATATTGACTTACACTTACGTTCATGTGAGTTTGTAGGACCCAGAGGTCCTATTTGTGTTTGTATTCATAATGAAGTTTACCTTCAGCTGCGTCTGGTACTGGGGAGAAGAAAGCCGGATGCATTGTTAAATACCCTTTCTGTCCCCTCGGGAGAGAAGAGGAAATGAGTCTCCTTTCTTGCTGTCTCTTGGTTATAGGCAGATGAAGCTGTGCCCATTAGCAGTGGGATGGGAAGTAACTGGAACCTCCTGTGTAATCTGCTTTCCTTCTGTGTAGCAGCAGGTACTGCCTCTGGGGGGTAGTGTTCTGAAGGGGAGTAGGGGGCCTTCCACTGCGGTGGCGCCGGTCGAGGTGCAGTGGGGTTTCATCTGTCTGGAGTCATTGGAGCATTACTGGGCCCCATCCACTCTGTCTAAGTGGCTAACACGTTTTGAAATGTAGTATTGAAATAACTGAAAAATATCACTTATGCTTATCCATATCTCAGTATTTCGCACAATACTGTTTCATAGCGCAATTTACACATCATCTTTGACTGTTATAAATTCCAAAAGATTAATCAAAACATTAGAAGCAGTAGAAAAGGGATTGACTAGGCCCATCAAACTCTGCCATCACTGGATCTGATGAAAGAACGCTACCGATAGGGACTTTCAAATGCGCAATTTTTTCCAGCTTTCCTTTATTTTTCCTAATATAGCTTATCAGCTTTTAGCCAGATTAGGTATAAATAAATAATCATCCTTTGTCTTAGAGGTGAAGTCATTTGATAGCTGCACAGAGCACACTTTCAATGTTAGTCAAACGCTGTTTCCTTTCTAATGGAGGCAACAGAGACAAGGGCTTTATTCATAGATGTAAGTGCATAAATCTAAAGCCCTGTGAACTAAATGCTTATTATGTAACACTTTGATTTTCCTTTTCCATTAACAAGCCTCTTTAGAAAATACTCAGTTATTGGAAAACTATTGTTGCTTCTTATTTTGATAAAATCAGAAATGCATCTTCTCTGGACTTTTCTTAAACTCATGGTGAATAACAGGAGGCCAGGCTGGCTTGGAAATCAGCACCCCATTCCTGTTAGAGAATGTCTGTGTGGACATAGGGTTGGTGTGGAGAAAAACGTAGTGATGAAGTCAATGTGTCTCTTGTGTAGACGAGTAATAGCATTTCATCATCTTAGTGTTAAACCCTGACCAAACAGACCTGTTCTCTTTAGTTTAATCCAGGTAGAAAATGAGTTTCTGGAAGTGGAGAATCTGTGTTAGATACTTTATAATATAGGGTGCATTTTAGGGTGTATTTTCTTCTATTAAGTTATGGTTATTTTTTTCTGTTCCATCCTTTGCAACGAATGAGCTTGGAGAAAATGGAATCTGCTTTTCAAGGTCATGTAGGACATATATATGTTTATAAATATTTTTTCCAGTGATAATTGGTCATGAAAACATAGGTGTTTTGTAGCTTTCTTAGGGTTCCCATATAGGAAGCAAGGAATAGGAGCTTTTTCTCCTGAGGACTCAAGAAGGAATAGGTCTCAGTTGTCAAAGAAGGGCCTAGATCATCAGAAGAGAGTTATTGTTGTGTGTTTCTCTTACTCAGGGAAAGTACTGGCTCTTCTGAAGAACTTAACTGTTTCCATGGAATCCATTTGAAATAATTAGATACTAGCTACACATGAACTTGTGTGGGAATTCATCTTTTTCTAACATCAATTTCTGTTGTATACATGTACATGTTTGGTAAATTAATTAATGAGTTAAAAAAAATACCTTTAAAAGACAGAAGTCAAAATTTAAAAATGGTGCCTGAAATCTAGGTCCTAGCTCTAATGTACAAAGAAAATTTTTGTATAGTTACGAATCAAAAATTAGATATGTTTGAATGAAAGGCAAATATGTCCCAGTCTAGGAAGGATTATCACTTACATCATTTCTGGATTGGAACCAGTGAATTTAGAAGAATCAATGAGAAGTTTAAACCTAAAAAAGAAATCGAACCTTAATTAATGAAATTACCAATTGATTGCCTGGTTCTTCCATTGTTACACATGTAAAAACACCCATTAATTAGGGTAGAATTATTAGTCATGTTATCACTGCTGTCATTAGTATAGCAGACTTGGTCTTTTGCTGAAAATGTTTTTGGGTAAGCATTTTCCTGATACTTCAGTTATCTATTGCTATATTATAAACCACCCCAAAACTTGGTAGCTGAAAGCAGCAACTAAAAGCATTTCAGCATCTCTCACCAGTCTCTGGGTTAACTGGGCTCAGCTGGGCAGTTCTTAGGACGCTTCATGCCATTGCATTCAGATGGCCCCTGGCACTGGGGTCCCCTGGAGGCTCCACTCCTTCTCATGTGGTCTCAGGGCCTCTCCTTTGCACATGGCCTCTTCACAGTCTCAGCAGCAGGGTAGCCAGACTTCTGACTTGTGGCTTAGGGCTCACAAAAACAATCATTCCAGCCATGGCCGGTTTGGCTTAGCGGTTGGAGCATCAGCCTGCGGTCTAGAGAGACCCGGGTTCGGTTCCCGTTAAGGGCACATACCTTGGTTGCAGTTTGTCTCCGGCCCTGGTTGGTTGTGCGGGTGGCAGCCACTCGATGTGTCCCTTTCACATCGATGTTTCTCTCTCTCTCTCTTCCTCTCTCTACTTCCCACTCTATCTGAACAAAGAGTGGAAAAATGTCCTCGGGTGAGGATAAAACAAAAAACAAAAAAACAACCATTCCAAGGGGGAAGAAGCAGACCCTCAGCACTTGAAAGCTGAGGCCTGGTCTGGCCTGGTGTAACTCCCACCACATTGTATTGGTTAATGCCTTACGGACATGCTGTTTCAATGTGGGAGAGAAGGGCATAAGGCTGGGTTCCTTGGGGACCATTTTTAGAGATGAACTACTATAGTAATATGACTTAAAATACTTCATTTTAGACTTTATGTGAAGTATGTGCTGGTGAGTTTGAGCTTCAGTTATAGGCTTGGTCAGCTGCACTAACCAGGAATTTCTAGACTTTATGTGAAGTATGTGCTGGTGAGTTTGAGCTTCAGTTATAGGCTTGGTCAGCTGCACTAACCAGGAATTTCTAGACTTTATATGAAGTATGTGCTGGTGAGTTTGAGCTTCAGTTATAGGCTTGGTCAGTTGCACTAACCAGGAATTTCTACGAGATGTAGTCAGCCAGCAGTACATACAAGGGGCTGTGCTACAGAGGTTGCCACTAGAAGCACTTTGGTTATTTAAATCTTGATTAAAAACTGGGCCAGGCAGTTGGTTGTCTCTTGGTGGGGTAGGAATATCGGGCCCACAGGGACAAGGCTTCCCTGGGCAGATGCTTGGAATGATGCAGTCCCTCTTGTCGGTTCTGCCCACCCACTCCAGTGTCTCCAGGTAGAGTAGGGGAGTCTTAGGTCCTTTGCCTTGTTGGTTATTGTTTGGGGCGGTGGGTCGGGGAGGAGCGCTCCCGTTCAATCCTGGCTAGCAGTACTATATGTAGTGACTATCAACCACTGAGGTGTGGGGACCTGAGAGATCATCAAGTCTAATCTTTAGCCCATGAGCTTCATTTTCTCTCACGTCCTCTAGCACATTCCTCAGCAAACTAGACACTGAGCTCTGCCTCTTCCCAAAAGCCATCAGAAGTGTTGCTTGTCCTTTAGAAGCTGCCTTCTTGAGCAGGTGAGTATGCATGTGTTCGCCCAGACTGCTCCAACCTCGCCATCACCGTGTTGTTGCAGAACGCGCACACAGAAGCATTCAGCAGCTGAAATGTGCCCTGAGAGAAGGCGATGTCCCTGTTGGAGAAGGTGCACCGGAGCCCTCCTGCAGCCCCAGCGTGGGAGGTGAGGACACCGGGGCTGCCTGGCACGAGCTACAGCACAGCCATGCCGGTGAGTTGAACGCAGCCCTAACCCGATGGCCCACAGTGAATTCCTAAACTCCATACAGTAATGACTCCAGCGCATCTCCACTCTACTGCTGGGATTTTATTCCTGAGACACAAATCAGCTAATACAACTCCCTTGTTTAATTTTTGTTTTTTGACTTCCCAATGCCTATATAGGCCAAAGTCCAAAATTCTTAGTATATCGTAGCAATATTTCCGTAATATGGTTCCAAGCTACCTTTCCAGCCTGATTTTTCTGTCCTCCTTCCAACCATCCAATGTGCAAGCCAGGTTCCCGTCAGACCCACCTACCCGCCATGCTCCTATGCTTTTGCATGTGGCATGCCTTCTCCTGGAATTTTCTCACCCTTTTCTGCTTAGTGATCTGTTCATCCTTCACAGTGTTACCTCCTCTGGAAAACAGGCCCAATTAGATGCTTCCTCTTTTTGTAGCACTATGTGTGGCTCTAGGTCAACAAACAACTTGTATTGTTTTAAAGCAATTAGTGTATCATTCTTGCCCAGTGGATTCTTAGCTCTTAATTGGGAGAGGTTTTCTCGCCTTTTCTTTGCATACCCAGTTCTTGATGCATAATGTGTGTTTAAACAACATTTGTTAGATGGATGAAAGGATGGATGAGTGATGATAAACCATGGATCTCAAATAAGGTTAATAAACTCATTGCTTCTGCCTTGTAGTTAATCAACTCAAAGCTTTGTTGTACCAACAAGCGGTTAAGGAGAGTGAGGTATCTCCATCAAGAAGACGAAAAATGTCCCCTTTGGTAAGTATCAACATTTGCAACCCAACAAAAGCATCATCTTTCAAACTATATTTTAACTTTACAGTGTCATTTTAGTAGTACATGTTACAGACCAGTTCTGAGCAAGGCACTCTAATAGTGTGAGGTATTAAAAGAAATTATCTTGCCTTGTTTGGCTCAGGGTTGGAGCATCAGCCTGCGGACTGGGGGGTCCTGGGTTCGATTGCGGCCAAGGGCACATACCTCGGTTGCACTTTGTCCCTGGCCCTGGTTGGGGTCATGTGGGTGGCAGCTACTCGATATGTCTCACTTTGATATTTCTCTCACTCTCGTCCCCTCTCTCCCTCCCATTTTGTCTGAAGATAAACATAAAAATATCCTTGGATGAGGATTAAAAAAAAAAGAAATTATCTTCTCTCTAATTATATTAGCTGCAGAAGAGAGATTTCTATGGCAGAGGGAATACTGATTTTTTAAATTTATTATTTACTTGAAAAATATAAGTGAGGAAATAGTTTGGAGAATTTACTTTGCAACTATTAGCAAATGTAAAAAAAGGAGCAATATATGGAAAAGATTGGCCATTTCTTTTTTAGAGGGTTATATCTATATTTGATCATTTTGGAATTTACTTAATTGTAATTCTAGCCATCCTTTGTACTACTCTTTTATTATGAATGTCAAAACTAAAGTATGTAATCTTATTCTACATTTAAAAATACGTGGTTATAGCCCTGGCCAGTTGGGCTCAGCGGTTAGAACATCAGCCTGTGGACAAAAGAGTCCTGGGTTGGATTCCAGCCAAGGGCATGTACCTCAGTTGCAGTTCGTCCCTGGCCTGGTTGGGGTCATGCAGGTGGCAACCAATCGATGCATCTCTCTCACATCGATGTTTCTCTCTCTCTCTCCCTCGCACTCTGTCTGAAGATAAATGTAAAAATATCCTCGAGTGAGGATTAAAAAAAGAAAAAATACGAGGTTATAAAATTGTGTAATATAAGAAGTTAGACCCTATTTCTTCTGAAGTTATTTTTTATTGCCATTACTTTGACAGAATATATTATTCCAGACTGAAGCAATGTGATATGCTAAAGGCCAAGCTAGGAATGAAGGAAGGTGTGAGGGAAGGGTTTGACCAGCTTTAAATGGCTAAAATAATAGTGAAGATAGAATTTTATTCATTGACACACCGCCTGGCATCAAGCACTTGTCTAATGAATCCCTTCTGCAGGGGGTGGTGCAGTTTTAGCAGGTACTTCTCTTCCGTGGAGGTTTCTTGGAGAGAGGTGTCCCTTTATTTCAGCATGGCTCAAAGAGGCAGTCCGTCCTGAGCCAGTTATGCGACCCTGACACTTTTCCATTTGCCACGTGCTTTTTGTAACCACCTTCTCTTTGCATCTTCAAAAAATGTTCATATCCCTGAATCTTATCTATTTGTGGAATTTATAGGGTAGAGAAATAAATACTATAATCTACATGTGATCGAGCCTGTGTTTATATGACATCGATGCTAAATTGAGTGCGGAGATGATCCTCATTGATTCTTTGCTAAATCCAAACACGCTTCATTTGCTGTTCTTTTTTCCTTAGGGGTCATCAGAATATGAGGAAACCAATATGCCTACTGTTCATAATCTTGTCCCTATCATCAATGATCAGTCCCAATACATTCATCATTTAGAGGCAGAAGTCAAGTTCTGCAAGGTAAGTTTCTCACCAAAAATGTAAACCTACCTAAATTGAGTTTATATTAATGATGCCTAGTATGAGCATTTGCTATTATTAGTCTTCATGTTTACAGCAATACACTGACAGTTGCCATGCTTATCTGATTGGAAAGACTAATGTGTATCAGGCCTGAGAATGATACCCTTGACCGTGCCATTTCTACCTGTATAATTCCCAGGTAGTCCTTAACTAAACTATGTGTAATATTATCTCATGTTGCAGAATGTTTTTCTTTCCACTCCATTGACTTTAGCCCAGCTTATGGAAGATGCTTTGGAATAGTAATTCCAATCATTCTCCCACACTTGTCAACCTGTCAAAGCTGGGGTACAGCAGGCAGGAACTTAAGCTACTAGACGAAATCTGCTCCATTGTCAGTATAAAGGTTCTTACCTTGACTTTGAATGATGAGAATGACTCACGGGGTACTGATAACAGTGATCAAGAAACCAAATGTGGTCCTGGATGGTTTGGCTCAGCGGTTAGAGTATTGGCCCGCGGACCAATGAGTTGCGGGTTCGGTTCTGGTCAAGGGCATGTACCTCGGTTGCGATTCTTCCTAGTTGGGGCTGTGCGGGAGGCAGCCACTTGATGTGTCCCTTTCATGTGGATGATTCTCTCTCTCTCTCTGTCTCTTCCTCTCCCTCCCACTCTATCTGAACAAAAATGGAAAAATGTCCTCGGGTGAGGATAAAAAAGTAAATAAAAAAATAAAAAAGAAAGGGACACATCGAGTGACTGCCACCCACATGACCCAACTGCAATCGAGGTACGTGCCCTTAGCGGGAACCAAACCCCGGTGTCTCTGGACCACAGGCTGATACTCTAATCGCCGAGCCAAACCAGCCAGGGCAATTGTATTTTTAATTTCAAATTCCGATTATTCATTGCTAATATATAAGAAAACAATTGAGTTTTGAATATTATTTAACCTTGTAATATGCAACATTGCAACACTCATTTATTTCTAGCATTTTTTTTTTTTTTTGCTTCTTTGGGATTTTCATCATAGACAGTCATGTCATCTGTAAATAAAGACAGATGTCTTTTTAGATTATTATTATTTTCTTCCAAGCATATGTAGCTTTTAATTTATTTTGTCATGTTACATTATCTAGTACTTCTAGAGTGATGTTGAATAGGAATTACTAGAGGGAACATTCTTGCCTTGTTCTTGATCTTAGTGGGAAATCATATAGTATCTCATCATTAACCTTAATATGATGTTAGCTAGAGTTTATTTGGAAATGTAGCTTAGCAAATTGAGGATGTTTCCCTTTATTCCTAGTTTGCAGAGAGTTTTTATCTTGAATGGGTTCTGTCACTTGTTTCTTCTGCATCTATTGATATGATCATGTGATTTTCCTCTCTATTTTACTGATATGATAGATGACATTAATTGATTATCAAAATTGAACCAGCCTTGTATACATTGCAATTCCACTTGGTCCGATTCTATAATTCTTTTTACACACTGTTGGGTTCAATTTGCTAAATTTTGATAAAGATTTTTTTTATGAGATATATTGATCTTTGATTTTCCATTCCTATGATGTTTTCACTTGGTTTGGAGTTTAGGGTAATGTTTACTAAAATGAGTTTGGAATCATTTTGTCTGGCATTTTAAGGATGATCTTATAGAGAATTGGTATAATTTGCTCCTAAATGTTTGGTAGAATTTACCAGTGATCCAGTAGTAGTCCTGGTGCTTTCTGTTTTGAAAGATTATTAATTATTGATACAATTTCTTTAATAAACATCGGCCTATGCAGATTATTTATTTCTCCTTCTGTGAGTTTTGGTAGATTGTGTCTATATATGTCAATTATATAGTTTGCTCTTCAGTTCAACTATATCCTTACTGACATCTTGCCAATCTGCCAGATTCGCTGTTATCTGTCAATTACTTAGGGAGAGATGTTAAACTCTCCCTCTGAAACAGTGGATTCATCTATTCCTCCTTACTTCTGTCAGTTTGGCTTCATGTATGTTGATGCTCTATTGTTAGGCACATACACATTAAAGATTATTACGTCTTCTTGAAGAATTGACCTCTTGATCATTAAGTATTGCCCCCTTTTTATCTCTAACTGGGGATCGAATCCACAACCTTTTTGGTGTACGGGACAGCGCTCCAACCAACTGAGCCACTAGGCCACGACAGGCTCTCACAAATTTTGATAAGTTGTATTTTTTATTTTGTTCAAAATATTTTAAAGTTTTTCTTGAGACTTAAGCCTTGACTGACCCATATGTTATTTAGAAGTGTATTGTTTAATTGCCAAGAATATTGGGTGTATTCTAGCCATCTTCATCCAACAACAACAGAATACACATTCTTCTCAAGCTAATACAGAATATTCACTGACACATCACATTCTGGTCCTAAAAACATAAATTAAAAAGAACAGAAATCATAAAAAGTATGCTCTCAGACCACAGTGGAATTAAACTGGAAATCAGTAACAGGAAATTTTTCTTTTCTGTGAAGTCTGCTTTGTCAGAAATTAATATAGCTAGTCCAGCTTTCTTTTGATTTATGTTAGCATGGTATGTCTTTATCCATCCATTTACTTTTAATCTGTGTCTTTATATTTAAAATGGGTTTCTTGTGGGCAACAAATACTTGAGTCTTGTTTTTAGATTCTGACAGTTTCTGCCTTTTCATTGGTGTATTCAGACCATGGAGGTTTAAAATGATTGTTCATATACTTGAATATCTATAATATCAGCCACATTTGTTATTGTCTATTCATTGTCCTTGTTCTGTATTTATTTTTTGTTTTTCATTGTTTTTCTGCCATATCTGGTTTTAAGTATTTTATATTATTGCATTTTTTTCTCCACTCTTAGCATATCAGTTGAACTTCTCTTTTTACTTTGAAGTGGTTGTATTTTAGTTTGCAATTACATTTACTATTAATCTAAGTCTACTTTCAAATAACACTTTACCACTCAAGGTTAGGTCAAAATCCTTATAACAGAGTATTCTGAATTCTTCCATCCTATTATTTATAACATTGCTGTTATTCATTTCAGTTACACGTTAGCTATAATCACCACATTTACTGTTGCTGTTGTGATGTTGAGCAAACTGATATATGTAATATATATGAAATACATTATATAGTAATATATATATATATGTCAATAAAGGCTAATAAAAATTAAGGATTTTTATCTACGTATAGTTCTTCTAATACTTTTTCTTTATGTAGATCTGAGTGTATAACCCATATAATTTCCCTCCTTTCTGAAGAACTTTTAATGTTTCTTATAAGTCAATTCCCTCCTAAAAGAGGGAATTGGTGACAAACTCCCTCAAATTTTGATTATCTGAGAAAGTATTTTTTTTTTTATATTAATTTCACAGATTATAGAATTCTGTGTTGGTGAATTTTTTTCTATCAATACTTTAAACATCTGTTTCCATTCTATTTTTCTTACATGGTTTCTGAAGAGTAGTCTGATGTAATTCTAATCCTAGATTAGATAGTTTGCCCTCTCTTTCTTTAAAGATTTTCTCTTTGTCTCTGATTTTCTGCTTGGTGTTCTTTGAGCTTCCTGGATCTGTCATTTGGGGCCTATCATTTATTTTGGAAAATTCTTAAACATTATAGCTTCAAATATTTCTCCTCTTTTGTCTCTTTTTCTGCAATTCCCATTACATATAGTTACACCTTTGATAATTGTTTCACAATTCTTGGATATTCTGTTCTTTTTCATTCTTTGTTTCTCCTTGCATATTAGTTTGGGAAGTGTCTATTGACAGTTCTTCAAGCTCATTAATTCTTTCTTTGGATGTGTCCAGTCCATCAATGAGACCATCAAGGCTTTGTTCATTTCTATTACCATGTTTTTGTATTTCCTTTGGATTCTTTCTTAGATGTTTCATTTCTCCGCTTACATTACCCACTTGTTCTTGCATGTAGTCCACTTTTTCCACCAGACTCTTTAGCATATTAATGATAATTATTTGGAACTCCCAGTCGGATAATTCCAACATCTCCGCCATGCCCAAATCTGGTTCTATGCTGGCCTAGTCTCTTTAAACTGTGTTTCAAGTTTTTTAGTACAACTTGTCATTTTTTTGTTGCTTGCTAGATATGATACACTACTAGGTAAAAAAAACCAAGGGAAATAGACATTTAGTCTGAGGTTTCATGTTTCTTTGGCTAGGAGTTCGGCTGTGTTCACTGTTTGTAAGTGTGAGCAGCTACAATTTCCTCCAGCGTCTTGGTTTTTGTCTCCCCTGATATCTTTGGGATTCCCTCAGGAATTCTTCTAAAATATGGTGTAAGATGTGGAGTTATTTTAGGGTGTTACACACACCAGTTATTTAGACTCTGCTAAAATAGTTTCTCCCGAGGCAGGCCTTGTTAAGAAAAGCAGAAAGCTTTGGGCGTGTTTCAAAATGGCTGCTTCTCCTCCTCCACTGCTGGGAGCATGAGGGCATTGTTCTTTAGTCTCTGCTGTAAGAGCCTGGTGTCCAAGAGGTAAAACTCACAAAGGTGTAGGAGTCCTCCCAACACTGGGTCCCTCTAGAGTTCTTAACTCCCCACCTTGTCTGCGCTGAGCATTTGTCAGCTGCACACTACATCCCCTACCCCAGCCTCATTCCTTGGCAGTCCTGCTCATGGGTTTCTGCTCTGGGGGGCTGTGGTTCTCGGGGGCACCTGTCCTTCAACACTGGGGCTAACAGTTCTTCCTGTGACTTCAGTTTGCTCATGACTCTAAGAAGAGTGGTTGAGTTTTCAGCTCCTTCAGCTTTTTTCTAAGCTTACTATGATATGCCAGACCAAAAATTGGAAGTTTGAACTATTTTTTAAATTACAACTTTAAATTACAGCTTTGGTTTTATTTTCTGGATAAAATAATTGAATGGAATTTGCATATATTACATAATAGCTTTGGGTTGCACTAGTAATGACGATTAAGTATTATACCATCAATTATTGATAATTTTTGCCATTTTTTCCCCCCAGAAAATAAGATGCCATTCATTATACTTGTTATTTATCTGTAATTCCTTATATTACACCCTTAAGAATTCTCCACCAAAGTATTTCACTCATAATTTCCCTTCATCTGGCTACCAGTTTATAGATAATCATTGTCCCATTCCAAGCCTTTTAGTCCCAGAGTCCTGTGTTAACTAGTAAGTCCTGTGTCAGTCTTCAACAAGATATTGCTATTTGAGCATGAGTAATAATATATTTTACCTTAGTTTTCAGCAGTCTACCTCATTCTTAAAAGTCTTTTAGATATAACCCCTTTCATTAAAGCCTTCTATAAGCCTTAATCCCTTAGAGAAAAAATTGTCAGAGACCACACCCTTCTATGAAAATACATTAGCAGGTCCTCTGCTATACACCTCCAGCCTTCTCTTTGTTTGTAGGCTAATGTTATTTTGTGTAAATATAATGATAGTACTTCAGAAAATGGACAGAGCGCCTACGTCTTCCATGCTTTGTTCCATGTCAGATTGTCTAATAATCAATGAATAAAAGCACTGCTTAAACATGCTTAATGTGTTTCGTATCTGTTTCTGCTTCTTATAGGAGGAGCTCTCCGGAATGAAAAACAGGGTCCAGGTAGTTGTGCTTGACAATGAACGGCTCCAACAGGAGTTGAAAGCTCACAGACAAGAGGAAGCAATGAGGGAACAAACCCTTCCGGATGCATCTGTGAGCATCGTCACAAACCACAACTGCATTCGCTTTTGCAGGCTCCCTCCTACCCCCTCCCCAGCCTTCTGGACTGCTTAGATTTTCTTCTCGAAGTGTGGTGAAAGCACTCTGCTTATATTCGCTTTACATATCCTCAAACATTAAATTCACTGGGGTGGTCTGATCCTCAGATGAAATGATGCGGGGATGCCTGCTGTCTACTGCGGGTTCCTCTCTGAGCATCCGTCCCTGTTCTCCCACAGGGAAAGAGCCAGTCTAGAAGCAGGAAGCGTGTTATATGGGCAGGTCTTTGTTAAACCTAGAAACTGCTCCGAACTGTCACTTAGATTCCCGTTGTATTTCTCTGAGTTTTTGTCGAGCTCTGAATTCCAGTGGAGTCTAATCAGCAGCATGGTGAGGCAGAAGGAACACTGGCCTGAAGGTCCAAGAATCAACATGGTGTTCTTCCCATTGTCCAGTAAATTGGGTATTTAGCAAAAGCTGTGATTTTATAGAACTTTCAAACATGGCTTAACCCCTTGGGCCCTCTGTCTGTTTATTGGCAATTTGAGAAAATTCACCTATATTAACAGTTCTTAGTCTTTAATGTGAATAACAGTCACTTTGGATACTTGTTGACAGTGCGGATTCCTGAGCTCCATCCCCTGAGAGTCTGATTCCGTTGGTCTGGGTTGAGTCTGTAAGGAAAAAATAGGAAATTTTAACAGGTTGAGTCTTTGAGTTAAAAATATGAAATTTAAAAATTGCCTAAGTGATTCTAATTTCAGAGGATCACACTTTGAACAACAGTGGATTAAATGATCTCTATAATTCTTGTGATGATATTTAAATAGGGTTTAAACTTAGTATCTCCTTATGACTTGTCAGATACTTTTGCCTTGAAAATGTTTTTCACTCTTGCAGTGGAATATAGCTAATGAGAGCTTGTTCTGCTTTTTGAGACAAATTCAACTTTCTGTAGGGAAGCTTTAATAGTTGCCCGTTGCAGCTTTTGTTTGCAAGGCATTTTGGTGGTTTTCATGTAGTTGTCATTAGTAAATCCATTCTGTTAAGAAAAAATGTATCTTAATGTTTTACCTAGATGTCCTCTAATTTTTGTTTGTGAAGTTTTTTTTTTAACTTGGCCTGATGTTTCATTTATGATCCATGACTTCTGTGTATTAGAATTTGCTATTTGGAAGTAGCTAATTGTGTTAACTGAATAATGAAGTGAGCTGATTAGTATTTCAGTTTATTTTTCTGCAGTTACATTTCAGTTTATGATCAGTTATTTTGTCTTCACTGTATGTTTTTTTCTAAATAATTACATCATTATATTTATATTTAAAAATTCCATCTTAGGTGCTTATTATTTTAATGTCAATTTAAAGATGACACAGCCAGCCATACAAGAAGTGGGTAGAAGTAGCTCATTTTAATTTATTTATTTATTTATTTTTTTCCTTACCTGAGGACATTTTTTTCCATTTTTTGTTCAGATCGAGTGGGCGGGAGAGGGGGGGGGAGAGAGAGAGAGAGAGAGAGAGATAGAGAGAGAGAGAGAGAGAGAGAGAGAGTTGAGCCACACTGGCCGGGCTCAACTCTTTTTAATGAGTCTATTGCCACGTAGATGGTAGATCTTGCCAAAGCTCTTGGTGGATTTGAATTATAGAGAAAGAGAGAGAGAGAAACATCGACGTGAAAGGGACACATTGAGTGGCTGCCACCTGCACAACCAACCAGGGCCGGGGACAAATTGCAACTGAGGTACGTGCCCTTAACGGGAACTGAACCCGGGTCTCTCTGGACTGCAGGCCGACACTCTCACCGCTGAGCTAAACCAGCCGGGGCTCATTTTTAAAATAAATATATTCTTTTGCTTTTCTTCCAAATGTGTAGTCACTCAGCAAAGAGTGACCCAATTACTCATCGTCCGCAGTGTTTATACAACGGCAAAGAAGTGGGAGAAGGGGAAGTGGAGTGAGAAAGGAAATTAGGCAGACAAGTGAATCCCAGGGCAAGAGAAATGAGTAATGCAAATGGGGAAGGAAATGCTGGTAACAGCACACATGCCTCTCCCTGGGAACAAAGGAGACTTGCTAAAGAAAACTGCAGCCAGTTAGAGAAAGAGCAAAGTCGGGAGAGGTTTTGTTTCTTTCCACATTCCCCTGAGCTGAAATGGGATGCAGATGTTGCAATGATTGCTGCAGATGTGCCAGGTGACCTTGATATCTGAGTAATGTTAGCGCCTGTGTTATTCTGTTGTTCCGGTATTGCCACCCCCCACTTTTTACTTGTATAGGTGAATTGAGGCATTTCAGCAACCTATGCATGCTGCTGTATTAAGAAAAATGTGTCCTGATATAAATGAAACTTTTCAGGGTATCTTACATATAAACAGATCAGAAGATAGTATCTTTCTTTTTGTTCTGAACTCTCATTGTTTATTTATTTTTTAAATAATTTTTCTTTATTGGTTTTACAGAGAGAGGAAGGCAGAGGGAGAGAGAGAGAGACATTGATGAGAGAGAATATCAATTGGCCACCTCCTGCATGCCCCCCACCGGGGATTGGGCCCACACCCTGGGCATGTGCCCTGACTGGTAATTGAACCAGTGATGTCTTGGTGCATGGGTCAACACTGAACCACTGAGCCACACTGGCTGGGCTCAACTCTTTTTAATGAGTCTATTGCCACGTAGATGGCAGATCTTGCCAAAGCTCTTGGTGGATTTGAATATAGATTTTTAGTGTTTCTTAAGGGCTTCTTTTGAAAAACAATTTAAATAGTTATATAGTAATAATTAATATTTATTGATTACTACATGGTTAGAATGTTCCAAGCACTATACCAAGCACTTTATTTACATTGTATTATTTCAGTTTTATGTTAGCCATGCAAGGCACTGTTATTGTGTCTATTTTCAGATGAGTAAATTAAGATACAAAATGGTAAAGAGACCAAAGTAACTGGTCTAATGTCACAAAGCTAGAAAATAGCAAAGCTAGGACTCATACATGGGACTGTCTGACTCCAAATTCATTCACCTAGCCTTGAGTTATCCTACCTGTTTGTATAAATTAGTAATAACTTGTCAATATTGTACCAAACCATCTTTGTTTGTCCTGAGATAAAAGATGCCCCTCAGACGAGAAGTCCCTCCTCTTCATTGTTTCTGAGTTTTAACCTTGGACATGAATGATAGCCCACGTGACTTTTAGCCTGTAGCCTACTTTATGGCCTAGCAGTTGAAGAAGCAAGCAGATTATTTTTAAAAAACTAAAAACGTTTTAATAATATTTCATTTCCCTTATCATTTGTCATCATTTTTTCTTATAAAATTTATCTTCATGGAGGGCTTTGTGTGAGAGTTCAAAAAATATAATAATATTAAAATATGCTGTTTGTTAGAAATTTCAGCATGTATACTCATTCAAAAAAAATCTAGGAGATTTTTTTTTTCTAAGTAGCAAATTGTGAGGCATTTCTTTCCATGTTTATTCTCATCCCCTTCACTATCAACCTCTCCCCTCAATGAAGAAATGAAAGGTTTTCAGTGATCTTCAGGGGTATAAATGTAACTAGATTTTTAAAACCTTGGTCAAGCCCTGGCTGGTTTTCTCAGTGGTTAGAGCATCGGCCTGCGGACCGGAGACTCCCGGGTTCAGTTCCCGCTAAGGGCACGTGCCTTGGTTGCAGTTTGTCCCCATCCCGGTTGGGGTCGTGTGGGCGGCAGCCACTCCATGTGTCTCTCTCACATCAATGTTTCTCTTTCTCCCTCTCTCCGTCCTGCTCTATGTGAAAGTAAATGCAAAAAAAAAAAAATGTCCTTGGGTAAGGATTAAAAAAGTAAATCAATAAATAAATAAAAACTGAAACCTTGGTCAAATATCATTCAGGTTTTTAAGAGCTAGCTGTGAAAGAACAAAGTGTCAGTTAGACTAGCACTTCTGCCCTGGCTGGTCGCTCAGTGGTTAGAACATAGGCCCTTGGACCAAAGAGTCGCAGGTTTGATTTTGGTCAAGGGCAGGTACCTCATTACAATTCGATCCCCAGCCCTGGTTGGGGTTGTACAGGGGGCAACCAATCGATGTATGTCTCTCACATGTCTCTGTCTCTCTCTGTTTCTTTCTCTCTCTCTCTCTCTTTTTTTTTCCCTCCCTCCCTCCCACTGTATTTGAAGATCAATGGAAGAATAATATCCTCAGTGGAGATTAACAACAACAAAAAAGATAGACTAGCACTTCTTCCCAAAGAATGACAATGTTTATATCATAAGCCAGTGATCTAAGGTCCACATGCTTTGTCCAGTTTCTTCATAGGAAATTACTATCACCCTCCTTTATTGCTCTCCAGAGCAACTTAAAAAAAATTTTTTTTTTCTTTATTGATTTTAGAGAGAGAGAGGGAGAGAGATAGAAACATCGATGAGAGGGAACATCGATTGGCCACCTCCTGCATGTCCCCCACTGGGGATCGGGCCCACAACCTGGGCATGTGCCCTGACTGGGAATCGAACCGGAGACTTCGTGGTGCATGGGTCGACGCTCAACCACTGAGCACACCGGCAGGGCTCCAAAGCAACTTTGAATGCAATCCAAATCTTGGGAGATTTGTCCCTACCTACTGAGTCAAGTTCAAGCTCATTCTGTCATACTTTCCGGACCCTTATTTGACTCTAGCTTTACGTTCTGACACCCACTGCCTTGTGCTTCCTCCTGGAGCCATGCCGAATTGCCCGAGTCCCCTTCAGCCAGCCCCTTTCACACCGCTTGACTTTGCTCACGGTGCTCTCTTTTCTTGGCACGCTCTTCCCATGTAGCTTACTCTTGTTTATCCTTCAAGACGTCGGATAGTGTCTAAACCTCTCCAGAAATTCTACCTTGACTCTCCCGTTGCCCTTGGTGTCCCTGCTGGGTTCTGGCCGGGTCCGCATGCACGCCCTGGCCTGGCACTCGGCTTATTTATGGAAATGACCTGCTTACGTGTTTGTCTCCCTCATTGACTCCTTGAGGATAAGATAGCTCTTGTTTATTTTTACCCTCTGAGCTCTTAGCACAATGTCTGAACACAGTAGGTATTCTACAGAAACGTTTGCATTTAGCGGCCCTTCCAGAGGAATCTGGAATAGAACCTCAGAGCTCTCCTTTGGGGGAATGCTGTTTGCCACTTTCCAGCGTGATATGACAATGGCGTGTAGTTCTGTGTGGGGGGACCTGTCTTCTGCTGTGGGCACTACTGGATTCTTTGGCCCTTAGCAAGGGTTCAGTTAGTATTTGTTGAATTAATGGAAGTACTTCAGTCCTGGTTGCGCACACAGACCTTTGGGCTATTTTTTCACCGAATGTCAAGAAGGCGCCAGAGCTGGGAGACTGAGCATGGGGTCCCCAGATTCTGTCTGTGGACCTCCTTTGTTTCCTTGATGGAGTTGAGTCAATATTTAACAATGTTTCCGATGAAAAGCCAGATATCTTCTGGCTTATTTTTTTTTTTAATTAAAAGAATTTTTTGGAAATACGAGTTTGGATTCACATGGTAGCGATTCACTGGTAGTGGCTGCTTCCTTTTGGATGGTTTGTCGTGGTCCCTGCCACTCCTCCCAGACATGCAGGCTACATGTCAGTTCATTTGTCACCATGCGCTGTCTTACTTATTGAAGATAAGTATCTTTCGGGAATGGCAGAAGAGTATAGTGGTTTGGGCATGGACTCTGGAGATCGGTCGCCAGGGTGCAGATCCTAGCTATGCCACTTATCAGCTGCTTCCTTCCTCTGTAACTCTCCTCATTACTCTGTGTGACCCTGTTTCCTCATCTATAGATGGAGATAATGAAACTCATAGGGTTGTTGTAATGATTAAATGAGTTAATATATGTGAAACATGTAAACAGTGTCAGACACATAATAAACCCCATTTGTATTAGCAACTATTGTTAGTCATGCCTTATGTAACGTGGAAAACGAAAGGCAAACTAAGAGAGGGCTCTGTGTTTCAAGAGTATGTGTCCTCAGAGAAGTGAGAGAGGAGGTAAGTGCATTTGTTGACTACATTGACATCCAGCTCTCTTTGCTCACTTACAGTATTGCCTGTACCAGTGGGAATTTGACTTTGTGGTCATTGTAGACTGTGTCCCTAGTAGCTGGAAAATGTAAAACGATGATTGATTTATAGTTGAGAAGCATCTGCTTTTTTAATTCTTTCATCACAGATAAAAATTGGTGTTCCGTTTATAAAGCATACATGTTGATGTAAAGGTAAATGTTGATTGCAATTACTGGCACATTTTATTTTAGGGAAACGTGCAGCATTCTTGGATTACAGCAGGTGAAGATTCTGGGGTGCAGGATTCTGCCAAGAAATCATATTCCCATGGCAATGCAGATATTATCACAGCTTCGTCTGCTGGTGAGGCTGAGAAATGGAAGCTGGAACTGGTGAGTGTTTGGGTGCTTTTCTGTTAGGCATCTATTTTTTCTTTTATCCTTTTTTTTATGGTGGTAAATATACAAAACAAAATTTCAAATTTTAATAATTTTTAAATTGACCATTTTAGCATTTTAAATGTACAACTCATCTGCATTAAGTACATTTACAATGTTGTGCAACCGTCAACACTATCCATTTTCAGAACTTCTTCATTGTCCCAAACAAAAACTCTGTACACATGAAACAGTAACTTCTCTCTCTTCTCTTCTCTCTCCAACCTCTTCTCCTTTCTGTCTCTATGAATGTGCCTGTTCTATGTATGTGCCTGTTCTATGTGCCTGACACAAGTGTAGTCAGCAACATTTGTCTTCTTGTGTCTGGCACATTTTATTTAGCATAGTGTTTTCAAGATTCATCCATGTTGTAACATGTACTACAATTTCATTCCTTTTGAACAGTGATAATATTCCATTGTATATATATATAGCACACTTTGATTGTTCATTCATTTGTTGATGGACTTTGTGGTAGTTTCTACCTTTTGGCTCTTGTGAATAAGGCTGCTATGAACATTGATACACAGTATCTGTGTGAGTCCCTACTTTCATTTATTTTGGGTTTATATCCAGAAATAGAATTGTGGGATCATATGGTAATTCTTCATTCTTTCTTTATTTCTGCTCCTGACTCAATCATTTCAGTTGTCATATCTTCAAGTTTTCTGATTCTTTGTTCTGCTGCTCTTTAATCCCTTTGGTGAGTTTTCCATTTTGGTGGTTACAATTTTTAGCTCCAGAATTCTGTTGAATTCCTTTTTATAATTTGTTGTTCTGGTTTATTTTAGGTTTTCTGCCCATGTTTTCTCTTAGTTGAGTATATTTAAGGCAGTTGTTCTAAAGTTTTTATCTAGTAAGTCTGATGTCTATAGTTTCTTTAAAATGGTTTTTGTTGACTTTTGTTTTTTTTGATATGCTTTGTAATTTTTGTTGTTGTTGAAAGTTGGGCATTGAACTGAACTCTGTAACTCTGGAAATCAAATACCCCATTTTCCCCAAGGCTTTCTGTCCTTTTTATTGTTAAAGGTTGTGGTAGTTCTTTTGTTTTGAGACTTTTCAAAACTGTTTTTGTAAAGACTATTCTTTGTTGCGTGTCACCACTTAAGTCTCTGTTTCATTTGCGTGTGTTCAGCTAATATTTGGTAGAGAGTCCTTGAATGCCAGCAACTGAAACATACAACCAACCAACCACAGGAACACTCACTTTAAAAAAGACAGAACAGCTACCTCTCCCGGGCTTTTCAGATTGGCTTTACGCTGGGGTATTCTTCTACCATTTAGCGAGACTTCCCCTGAGCCTAGAGATCAGCCTGTAGTGAAAGCTTACTCGGGGCTATTCTGAGCACGTGTCTTCCCTGGCCATGCCTGTGGCTTTCTAAGTTTGCCTGTATGCACAGTTTCTTTTAAATGTGCTCATTTCTCAAAGAATTTAAAATAATTTTATTTAAGATCAAATGATACTTTTAAATTCTTTGATCTGTGTAACAGACCTTTTTTCTTCCTCTTGCTTGAAGTCTTCTTTGCATTAAATTTTACATGGTGGAATTTATCAACACAGATGAAAGTGTAAAAATAACACTGTAAATGGAGTGTTCCAGGGTAAGGTAGAATGACTCATAGGTCAGCGTCATTATCATCTACGGGTGTTATTGTTACAGTTTTCTAAAGGCTCTTTCTGGCCCTAATCACCCTCCCCTTTCTGAGTCCCTAATCCAAGCTTTACTCTATTGTTTAGGAAAGAGTTTCTTTTTCTTAAAAAAAATCAGAAAGACTAAGTAAATTGTAAGGTGTTTTTTTGTTTTTTTTTTCAGCTGAATGATCTATAACCACTAATACCCATAACATAAAGACCAACATCCCAAGCCATCCACAATTTGCCTCAAACTACCTTTCCAGACTTCTTTGTCACTATTCTACACTCTCACAAGCATTAGCTATAGGTACACAGACCACTCACTACTTCGTGAACTTATCACCTACTTCCATGTCTCTTTGAATGACTGGTTTTGGTTTATGTAATCACCCCTACTTAAATGTTTCCTTCTTATCTTCCACTTGTCTAAATGTTTCCAGCCTGCAAGGCTGAGTTCAAATGCCCCCTCCCATTCCGCCTTCCCTCATACTAGCTTCCACCCTTCCCTTTCCCACATTTCTCTCTTATATCTCCTCTTAGTTGTGTTTATTACTGCCATCGAGTCATTTTTTTCTAGTTGTGTCCAAGGTCAACCCCTGAATTGATGTGCTCTATGCTACAAATCTTGCACTTTTTTCAAGGGTTTCACGCACACTTAGCTCCTCTTCTGACATCTTTTCTCCCACTTTACTGCATTATCTGCAATAGAATATGTGCTTTACCAGCTCCCGTCTTAAAGCAGACACTTGCAAATTATATTCTCTTGACCCACATTCTCTTTGAACTATTACCCAACTCTTGCTCCTCTTGATACCCCAAATCTTTTCAACTGTTGTCTGTGTTCTCCCCTCCCTTCCTCAGCACCCAGTCTCTCTGCAGCATACTTAAATGGAGTTCTACCACTAATATTTCCCTGGACCTTTTTCTTTAAGGGCATGAATGACTCCACATATCAGTCCTCATCTTCGGTACCTTGCAGCAGCATTCTGTAACATGTACATGGGTTATCATGGCCCCTCCTTCGGCTTTTCTGATGACCCAGTTTAACATACATTCAGAAGAGTACACAAACAAAAACTTACAGCTTAATGATTTATCTCCAGATGAACACCATGTAACTATCACCTATAAGATATGTAACATTGCCATGTCCCAAAAGCCCTCTTCATGCCCGGTCTCAGTCACTGTCCCATCATCATTCCCCTAAAGCTAATCATTGTCTGGACTTAGGAAAATTGCCTAAGCATGATCCTTAAACATTCTAGTTGGTTTTTGCCTATTTTTAAAACATTATACAAATGAAGTCAAACAGCGTGTATTTTTGTGTGTCTGGCTTATTTTGTTCAACATTATATTTGTTAGATTCATACTAGTTGAATGTGGTAGAAGTTTGTTCATTTTCAATGGGGGGGTCTAGTGTATGAGTATACCACAATTTATTCATTCATTCTACTGTCGATGGATATTTGTATTGTTTCCAGCTTGGGGCTATTGTGACTATTGCTGTTATGAACATTATTCTATATGTCTATGGTGTGCATTGCACACATTATGGTGGGAATGTATCTTGAAGTACAACTATTGGTCTTAGAGTATGTATGTATGTATATGTCCAATTTGAGGTGGTTAGGGAAAACTTTTACAAGTTGGATTTTATCAGTTTAGACTTCTATCCACAGCATATGAGTGATACCATTGCTCATATTCTTGCCAACACATTATATTGTCAGTTTTTCAGTGGGCTCGTAGTGCTATCTTATTGTGATTTTAATTTGCATTTCTCTGATTACCCGTGTGATTGGATATCTTTTTATATATTTATTGGTCATTTGATGCCTTCTTTTGTGAGGTACTTGTTCAAATATTCTACTCATTATTTTGAGTCATCTGACATTGTGTTTTGAACTTATTTATATATTCTGGATACAAGCCCTTTGTTGGTTATATCTAATGTACACATATTTTTCCATTCTGTGGCTTGCTTTCTAACTCTCTTGATAGATTTCTCTCTTCCTTTCCTTTCCTTTCTCTTCCCTCCCTTGTCCTCCCTCTGTTTTGTTCCCCTCATTTTCTAAGTTCTCGCTGCTGGTATAGAGAAAAGCACATACATATATTTTTGTATTTTGACTTACTCCCTCTTTCTTTTGATTAGTGTTAGCATGGTATATTTTTCTTGTCTTTTTACTTTTAATATATTTGTGTCTTCCTATTTAATGTGGGTTACTTGTGGCAAATGAACACAGAACTGAATTTTACTTTTTTATCCAATCAAACAATATCTGCCTTTTAAATGTGATTATTTATATATATATATATGTGTGTGTGTGTGTGTGTGTGTGTTCAGCTAGAGTGGGAGAGAGAGAGAGAGAAACATCGATGTGAAAGGGACACATCGAGTGGCTGCCACCCGCACGACCAACCAGGGCCAGGGACAAACTGCAACCGAGGTACGTGCCCTTAGCGGGAACCGAACCCGGGTCTCTCCAGACCGCAGGCCGACGCTCCAACCGCTGAGCCAAACCGGCCAGGGCCCCAGCATCGCACTTTTTAAAGAAAGACCTGATTTATATAATTTTGAAAAAAATCATTTTTTTGTGTGTCAGCAATTGCCATTTCATGACTCAGTAGTTCTATATTCAATAAATATAGAAAATTTTGGTGGACTAGGGAAAGTGTTTCCTAAGAGGACATATTGTTTTTCCTCCTGGGAAAAATATATTGAATTTATTGTTAATAATTAAAATGTGCTTATAAAACACAGGATACAGAGGAAATGTACTTTTTTATTTCTTTTCTAAAGGAGAAGCTGAAACTTACTTATGAGGACAAGTGTGAAATCCTAGAATCTCAACTGAGTGTTTTGAGGTACAGTATTATCATCCATATAAAGTCATAGCAAAGCATACTGATCTTAGATTATATTTGATTGTTTGCTGAAATCCCAGTTTTAGTCAATATAAGAATTACTTGATGACATTGTTTGCAATATGAGACCTTTTCTCACATTATCAAAGGTTAAAGGAGCATAAAATTGTGAAGTCCTTTTCCAAATGTTATTTCAAATAACTGTAACCTAAATTATGTTTTATTTTTTCATCAGTTGTAAAATAGTTGTGTTTTCTGACAGAAATAAGAATCACTAGCTACTCTTATAGAAATTACTCTTCAAAAATAAATAGTGAAAATAAAGCACTTTGGTTTTCAAATTACAAATAAGGATTTTATTCTTTATCTAATTTACTTCATTTAATTTTAAAATTGCAACAATAGTTTGAGTATTTTTGTATACATGGTGAATTTGTGTATACTTTATGAGTTTTCATGTACTTTTTGATATGTTTTTCAAAATCCCAATAAAACCTATATATTGTAGATTAACCATTAGTGATTTATTATGTATTCATTGTCCAAGAATTTAAGTGCAACATTCTCCTTTTTGAGTTAGAAAGTTTTTTTTTTTAATACAGAAAGATACCAGGAATTATTTTGTTGTATGTTAAATGTTATTTTAGACAATAGTAATAAATAACAACTAAGGACATTAAAGCTGTAATCAATAAAATCCCAGCAAACAAAAGTGTGGGTTGGGACGGCCTCACAGGGGGGTTTACTGAACATTCAAAGAACTAACTCCTATTCTCCTCAAATTATTCCGAAAAATTCAAGAGGAAGGAAGACTTCCAAGCTCTTTTTATGATGCCCACATAATCCTAATTCCAAAACCAGATAAAGACACTACAAAGAAAGAAAACTATGGGCCAATATCCCTGATGAACATAGATGCCAAAATCCTCAAGAAAAATATTAGCAAGTTGGATCCAGAAATATATTAAAATACTTACTCACCACAACCAAATGAGATTCATTCCAGGGATGCAAGACTGGTACAATATATGCAAATCAATAAATGTGATACACAGCATAAACAAAATGAAAGATAAAAATCATATGATCATATCAATAGACGCTGAAAAAGCATTTGACAAAATCCAGCACCTATTTTTGATGAAAATACTCATCAAAGTGGAAATAGAAAAATCATATCTCAACATTGTAAAGACCATATATGAAAAACCTACAGCCAACATCATACTCAATGGGCAAAAACTAAAAGCATTTTCCTTAAGAACAGGAACAAGACAGGGATGCCCACTTTTGCCACTCTTATTCAACATAGTACTGGAAGTTTTAGCCACAGCTATCAGACAAGAAGAAAAAATAAAATGGATCCAAATTGGAAAGGAGGAAGTGAAACTGTCATTATTCGCAGATGACATGATATTGTACATAGAAAACCCTAAAAACCCCATCAAAAAACTACTAGACTTAATAACTGAATTTGGCAAAGTAGCAGGATACAAAATTAACATCAAGAAATTGATGACTGCCCTGGCCAGTTTGGCTCAGCGGTTAGAGCGTCGACCTGCGGTCCAGAGACCCAGGTTCGGTTCCTGCTAAGGTCGTGTACCTCAGTTGCAGTTTGTCCCTGTCCCTGATTGGGTTGTGCAGGTGGCAACCACTCAATGTGTCTCTTTCACATAGATGTTTCTCTCTCTCCCTCCCTCCCACTCTATCTGAACAAAAAATGAAAAAAATGTCCTCGGGTGAGGATAAAAAAAAGAAATCGATGGCTGTTCGGCTGGTGTGGCTCAGCGGTTGAGCGTCAACCCATGCACCAAGAAGTTGCCCGTTTGATTCCTGGTCAGGACACATGCCCAGGTTGTGAGCCCGATCCCTGGTGGGGGGCATGTAGGAGGCGGCCAATCGATGTTCTGTCTCATCGATGTTTCTATCTCTCTCTCCCTCTCCCTTCCTCTCTTTGTAAACTCAATAAAGAAAAAAAAAGGGCCAGAGATCACATTTTTAAAAAAAGAAAAGAAATTGATGAAATTGATGGTATTATACGCCAATAATGAACACTTAGAAAGGGAAACCAAAAAAAAAAAAAAAATCCCATTCATTATTGCAACAAAAAAATTAAGATACCTGCGAATAAATTTAACCAAGGAGGTACAAGACGTATTCTCAGAAAACTACAGGGCATTGAAAAAAAAAATAGAGGGAGATATTAAAAAGTGGAAGCATATACCATGTTCATGGATCAGAAGAATCAATATCATTAAAATATCCATACACCCAAAGTAATCTATAGATTCAATGCAATTCCTATTAAGGTACTAATGACATATTTCACAGACCTAGAATAAACACTTCAAAAGTTTATATGGAATCAAAAATAGCCACAGCAATCTTGAAAAAGAAGAACAAAATTGGAGGGATCACAATAACAGATATCAAGCTATACTGCAAAGCCATCATAATCAAAACAACCTGGTACTGGCATAAGAACAGGCATATAGATCAATGGAACAGAACAGAGAACCCAGAAATAGACCCGAGACAATATGCTCAATTAATATTTGTCAATGGAGGCAAGAACATACAATGGAGAAAAATCAGTCTCTTCAATAAATGGTGTTGGAAGAATTGGAAAGATACATGCAAAAAAAATTAAGCTAGACCACCAACTTATACCATACACAACAATAAACTCAAAATGGATGAAAGACTTAAATGTAAGTCATGAAACCCATAAAAATCCCAGAAGAAAAGGTAGGCAGCAAAATCTCGGACATCACACATAGCAAAATTTTCACTGAAACATTGCCTAGGGCAAGAAAAACAAAGGAAACCAGAAACTAATAAATGGGACTATGTCAAATTAAAGAGCTTCTGTACAGCAAAAGAAACCAGCATCAAAATGAAAAGGGATCCACTGTTTGGGAGAACACATTTGCCAAAGATACATTGGATAAGGGGTTAATATCCAAGTACTCATACAGCTCAACAAAAGGAAGACAACCCAATTAAAAAGTGGGCAGAGGACCTGAATAGACACTTCTCCAAACAGGACATACAAATGGCCCAGAGACATATGAAAAAATGCTCAATGTCACTAATCATCAGAGAGATGCAAATTAAAGTGACTATGAGGTATCACCTCACACCTGCCAGAATGGCCGCCATCAACAAATCATCAAACAAGTGCTGGCGAGGGTGTGGAGAAAAGGGGACTCTAGTACACTGCTGGTGGGAATGCAGACTGGTATAGCCACTATGGAAAACAATATGGTGTTTCCTCAAAAAATTAAAAATTGGACTTCCATTTGACCCAGTGATCCCACTTCTAGGAATATACCCTAAGAAGCCTGAAACACCAATCAGGAAGAATATATGCACCCCTATGTTCATAGCAGCACTATTTACAATAGCTAAGATCTGGAAACAGCCAAGTACCCATCAGTAGGTGAGTGGATAAAAGATCTGTGTTACATTTACACAATGGAACACTATATAGCTGTAAGAAAAAAAGATCTCTTACCCTTTGAGATGACATGGAGGGACCTGGACAGTATTATGCTGAGTGAAATAAGCCAGTCAGAGAAAGACGAGTACCACATGATCTCACTTATTTATGGAGCGTCATGAACAAAATAAGCTGACCATCAAAACAGATCCAGAAACATGGAGGTAGGGAACAGACTGATAAACTTCAGAGGGAGGGGGCTTGGGGGGATGGAAAGAGATAAACCAAAGAACTTATTTGCATATATGCATAACCAATGGACTGAGACAATAATATGCAGAAGGTGGGAGTGGGGAGGAGGGGGTCAATGGGGAATAAAAGGGGGGGACACCTGTAATACTCTCAACAATAAAGATAAATAAAATGGCTCAAAAAACACAATAGTAATGAAATATTTTAAAATCGAATGAACTTTAAAATACTAATAATTTTATCTTGTTTGTTAAAGTACTTTTGATTATTATTTTGTAATAGTGCAATTTGAAATACCATTTAAAATTTTCAGCGCATGTATTGCACCAAGAATCAGACCTAGGCTCTCATTGCACGTTATTGTTCATGTCTCTCAATAGGTGCCTATGCTTTTTATACCTCATCCTTACTCATTTCAGGGTTTCTATAGAGATTTTTACTTATTCACAAAGAAGCCTAATGTTTTTAAAATGGTCTAATTTTTGCTTTCTTGCTTTTTATCTTTATTATATTTTGATATATAATTGTGTTTTGATTCTTTAGTTGTGTATTTCTAAATCATTATATTTATGGTAATGTGATTTATTTTATCTCATTCAGAATCCAAATATGCCATCTTTAATTACATTAAAATACAACCTTACAAGGAAGTAGGCTTTGCTCCCTGCATCCTTCTTTCTTTATTTGCTTTTTGTTGTTGTTGTTGTTGTTGTTAGTTATTTATTTTTCAGAGAGAGGGGAAGGGAGAGAGAGACAGAAACATCAATCTGTTGCCTCCTGAAACCTGGGCATGTGCCCTGAGCGGGAACTGAACCGGGACTTCTCAGTCCATGGGACAACGCTCAATCCACTGAGCCACACCAGCCCGGCTCTTTGTTTTCTTTTAATATAATTTAAGACTATTGGTAGAAGCATTTTCTTACAGAAAGAAAGAAAATCACTGCTCCCAGAAACTCTGGCTTTGTGGTAACCATTGCTTTTTATTTTTTGCCGTTAGAAGTAATCAGAGCTACGTGTCTTCAACTTGCACCATCACCAATGTTCAGGGAGACCCTTTTACTCCGGAATGTGCTTCTGAAGATCTTTTTATAAAGCCATCGAAAGTCAGACTTTTCCTTCCTGATACTTATAAAGAAAACTTATTATGTTGGAGATATTATCTTGGGAATAGGGCAAAAACAGCTCCATTTATTTTCCTGTGCAGACTGTCATGAGATTAGCCTTCAGAATCCTTAGATTGCCTGAGGGTCCTTCCCACCTCCCCCAGGCTGCTGAAAGCCCCCGTCCCAAGAGCTGAGGTACAGTGTGATGGCTGGGTTTCTCCTCTGTGACAGGCAGCAAGCTGGGACAGGTATATGTCCCTGAATAGAATAGAGACTGGCAACAGAGAGTGGACAGAGCCAGAGATCAATGCCTGCCTTCAGGATTCCAGGAACTCAGGAGAACAACTTTCTCCTTGAGCTAGAAGTTTCTTTTCAGACAGTAGGAAAGGGATGTCTGTGCAAGGAAGCTCAGCTTCCCACGTTGACTTTGCAAAACTTGGAGAAAAACATCATCCAAGGAATATCCTATAAAGTCAAAACAAACAGCCCCTAGCCCCTAGCCCCTCCCCCCCACACACCATTTCTCAACCCCCGCCCCCTTTTTTTCTAGCAAGCTGCCTATTCCCAGCTAATACCTGCTACTTAGGAAATCTGAAACTGACAAGTTCCATATAACTTCTTTGCCGAGCCCGCTCCCTTTCAAAACAGCTCTTTGTCGAACTGTGTGGTTAGATAACTTTGTAATGTTTTTTCCTCCTGAAGAAACATGGGCAGTAATAGGATCCATGTCCTTTATGTGGTCCTTTAAGTTACTCTTCATCAACTTTAAGAGGTTAACACTGGAAACTGGGTATTTCCCTCCATTCAAGGATACTGTGTTATGTCACCACACCCCTTTAGTAAATGAAACTTTAGAATTTGCATCAGTAGTTTTACTTTTGTTTTGTCAGTCATATAATGTAGTAGAAATAGGATCCTGTGAGAAGAAAGCCAGTTATCACTGGCAGACGGATTTTACAAGATCTTGGGCTAATTACTAAATATATTCAAATCTCATTTTATTCAATGTGTCAGTTAGGATAATCACACCTAGCATTCAGGGTTGTGGTAAAAATTAATAAGGTATTGTATGTACAGCACCTCATCAGGTTCACACCCGTAAACAGTTAGTAGTTATCACTCTGATGATGCGCTGGCACGTCATTTCACCTAGCCGTTGACTGGAACCTTTCTCCCCTCTCTCTAGGAAAGACTTAGCTGAGTATCAGAAAAACTGTGAAGACCTTAAACAGCGTCTAAAGCACAAAGAGTCTCTCCTGGCTGCTGATACTTCTAACCGAGTTGGTGGTCTCTGTTTGAAATGTGCTCAGCACGAAGCTGTTCTTTCCCAAACCCATAATAATGTTCACATGCAGACCATTGAAAGACTGACTAAGTAAGTATGTCTCCACATGTGCAATCTTGGGCAACAGGGGCAATTGCCGTTAAAGGGGCAGCGTGCTCTTTTATCGCCATGCTAAATCTCTAATGTGTGAATACTGTGAAGCTTCAGGAAAATGGGTTTTAAAAGGTCCCTCCATGGAACTCTCTTGAAAACAGAATAACTGAGTTCTGCCGACTGGGGTAACATGTCACTGTGGACAAGTCATTTTCTCTGTCTGGGTTTCAGTCTCTTTCTGAAGTGAGAAAATTGAAGTATTTGATATTTACAATTCTGTTCATTTCTCTGACTCTATACTTAGAAATTCAGCACTATTCCTAACAAAACTGAGTTGGAGAGGAATTCTTTTGATTTTATCTTGGTTTGCCTGCTGTAGTTTAGGTAGAGTCAGTTATTGTCCTGTCTTCATCATGTGCCTGTTGGGAATAATATCATGAGTGCATCAGAAGAGGGTCCCACTATATTCCAGTATAATTAATATTCCAGGATAGACTAAGGGCAAGTTACAAAGCTTTTACGTAATCAAAGGTTTTATCTAAGCTGAAATACTGCAATTCTCTGTATATATCTATTTTTGTTCTGTTTCCACTACTCCAAAGAAAGCCTTTTCCTGTGAAAGTTTTATTCTGTGAAAATCGAGAATTATTGTTTAATATATTATAGAGTGATGTTTATAGTGTGTTCCCCCATTGCCCTACTTTTCTCTAAGCTCAAGGTCACCTCTCTCTAGTTGCCTGGGCTCTTAATTTTTTATTTATTTTTTTATTGATTTTAGATAGAGAGGAAGGGAGAGGGAGAGAGAGAGAAACACCTATGAGAGAGAACATCGATTGGCCGCTGCTTGCATGCTCCCCCACACTGGGGACTGGGCCCACAACCTGGGCATGTGCCCTTACCAGGAATCAAGCCCACAACCTGTTGGTGGACAGGTCGACACTCAACCAGTGAGCCACACTGGCCAGGCTGCCTGGGCTCTTGAAGTGGCCCAACATCACTTTCAATACAAGTATTCTCCCACCAGCTTTGCCCCATTTTTCTCTCAACGGATTTGGACGCCTTACTCCTATGACTTTATACACTTTCTGTATACGGTACATGGAGGCAGCGACTCTGTCGTGTGTATCCCCGTATGCCTGGCATCTAGCATGTACCTATGGTGGACACTCAGCCAATGTTTGCTGTTCCGATGACTAGGTGTCGGGGCATTTACTGCTTAACAGTCAGACATCCTCCAGTTGGAACTGGTCTGGAGAGTGGAAAGACTGTGCTCATGAAAGTCACAGCAGTTTTGCTCTTTGTTTTGACCTTGACTTGCCTGAGTCTGGAGTCCTCTCCAGACTCCAGACGGGTGTTGTTTGGAGGTGTAACACCTACCTGCCTACCTCTTGGGACTTGACTGAGCAGCTTAGCCGGTGGCTAGAGCACACGCTCTTGAGTCCAACTGCCTAGGATCTAGGCAGGTGGTTCTCAACCTTCCTAAGGCCGCGACCCTTGAATACAGTTCCTCATGTTGTGGTGACCCCCAACCATAAAATTATTCTCATTGTTACTTCATAACTGTAATTTTGCTACTGTTATGTCTTAGGCGACCCCTGTGAAAGGGTCGTTCGACCCCCCAAAGGGGTTGCAACCCATAGGTTGAGAACCACTGGCCTAGATTCATCTTCTGGTTCTACTACTAACTTACTCTGTAGCCTCACAAAAGTTGCTTAACCTATTTTGTCTCAATATCCTCATTTTAAAAATGGAGGTAAAGGTACCTAAGTAATAGGGATATTTGAGGGGTCATTGAAAGCATACCTATATAGCGCTTAAACAGTCCCTACCCTAAGTATTAAGTCCTCTGTACCCCCATGTTTCAAGAGCTGTCTGGAAGACATGGTTTCTACGTATTGACTAACCTACTGGTTGTTACACAAAAACTGAATTTCTCCATTATGGACTGACGGGTAGTTTTTCTGATCTGTGCTGATGGTCCTGATTTGGTTAAATATTATATTAATTATAAAATATATGATTAAATTATTCATACAGATTCAATATAACTATGAAATTTATTCAATATATTTTCAGAGCCAACTAACATGGACTTAACATTTATTATATGCCACGGAGTGCCAGGCAATTTAAAAACATATCTCTTTTCATCTTAACAAAGCTTTTATGAGATAAATGTTCTTTCCCCCATTTCAAAGGCTGTTTATATTTAGGAAAAAAGAATAGAACCATACTTCACAAAAATAAATTGAAGATGGTATAAAGACCCAGATATAATTGTGACTGTTGAAGTATTAGAAGAAAATATAGAAAGTATCTTTTATTTTCAATTTTTTTTTTTTTTTTTTTATTGATTATAGAAAGAGAGGAAGGGAAAGGGAGGGAGTGATCAAACATCCATGAGAGGGAACATTGATAGCCCGCCTTCTGCATGCCCCCTACCGGGGGTTTGGCCCACAACCTGAACATGTGCCTTGACCGAATTGAACTGGTGACCTCCTGGTGCACGGGTCAACGCTTGACCACTGAGCCCCTCCTGCCGGGCATATGGAAAGTATCTTTATAGCCTTGGGCTATTTCAAAGTCCTGAGTATAACATGAAGAGGGAAAGTCATAAAAGAAAAAAAATGATACAGTTGATTCCATTAAATTTTTTTTTCTTGCCCTGGCCGGTTTGGCTCAGCGGTTAGAGCATCGGCCTGCAGTCCCGAGAGACCCGGGTTCGGTTCCCACTAAGGGCATATACCAGGTTGCAGTTTATCCCTGGCCCTGGTTGGGTCGTGCAGGAGGCAGCCACTCGATGTGTTCCTTTCACATCAATGTTTCTCTCTCTCTCTTCCTTTCTCTCCCTCTCACTCTATCTGAACAAAAAACAGAAAATGTCCTCGGATGAGAATAAAAAAAATATATTTTCATCTTATATTACAAAAAATTGGTACAATGTATAAAGAATTTCCTTTGAAACTAACAAAAAGGACAAATTGCCCAGTTGCAAAGTAGATAAAGAATAGCAATTGCTGCCTGGCCGGTATAGCTCAGTGGCACCCATGCACCAAGAGGTCGCCAGTTCGATTCCTGGTCATGGCACATCCCCAGGTTGTAGGCCCGATCCCCAGTGGGGGGCATGTAGGAGGCAGCCAATCAATGTTCCCTTTCATCAATGTTTCTATCTCTTTCTCCCTCTACCTTCCTCTCTCTCTAAAATCAATAAAGAAATAATTTTTTTTTAAAAAGAATAGCAATTACTGAACAATAAAAGAGGAAGATGTCAATATATGAGAAGGTATTCATTCTGTTATTATTCAAGGAAATTCAATTTTTAATAAAACCAACCCATCAAATTGGTAAAAGTTAAAGAAGTTTAATAATCACAAGAATTGGTGAGGCCATGACTATGCAAGTATTTTCATACATTGCTGGTGGAACTATAAATTGCTACTACTTTGGAAGGTAATTTAATACTACCCATTTATATTTAAATTGTGTATTAGCCCAGCTGGTGTGGCTCAGTTGTTGAGCATTGACCCATGCACCAAAAGTTTGCTGGTTTGATTCCTGGTCAGGGCACATGCCCAGGTTGTGGGCCCGATCCCCAATAGGGGGCATGCAGGAGGCAACCAATCAAAATTCTCATTCATCGATGTTTCTCTCTCTCCCTCTCCGTTCCTCTCTCTAAAATCAATTAAAAAAAAGACATAAATTTAAATAAATTGTATATTACACATTTCAAAATTTACCCTAGAGAACTTATATATGTGCATAATGAGTCATTTATAGGGACTGGTTTTTGCAGCATTGTTTGTGATGGCGTTGTGATATTGTGATATAAGAAATACATATTTTGGTCTTTATCTCTAGTTTCTGTAATTTCATAAATGATAAAGAGTAAGAAGAGCGCCCTGGCCAGTTTGGCTCAGCAGTTAGAGCGTTGGCCTATGGTCCGGAGAGACCCGGGTTCGGTTCCCGCTAAGGGCACGTACTTCGGTTGCAGTTTGTCCCTGGCCCTGGTTGGTCGTGCGGGTGGCAGCCACTCGATGTGTCCCTTCACGTCGATGTTTCTCTCTCTCTCCCCCTTCCCCTCTCTTCCTCCCACTCTATCTGTACAAAAATGGAAAAATATCCTCGGGTGAGGATTAAAAAAAAAAAAGAGAGTAAGAAGAGCATTTTTTGTGATAATATTCGCTGTTTTTTCCCATGCTCCTGAAATAGCTCTGGAACATAAAGGTGAAAAGAACATCTTTTTTCTTAACAAACCCCTTTTAACCATACTTGAGCTTAATTTTCTCTAGGTTCATACATTTGCATAGAAAAATATTTGAAAGGATAAATACTCAATATTTAATAGTGATTATCACTGGAGAGGTGGAAGAAGACATTAAAATTGAAAGTATGTGCCAAATAAATCTTTATCCATGTTGGTAATTAATTTTATAAGGAGAATGTAATGAAAAAATTAATTTGAAGTAGAAAAAAGTATATTCAAAGTTACACAGATAAAAAGAGGCAGAGTTGAAAACTAAGTAGCAAAAGCAAACAACAACAACAATAAAAACCAAGGCTGGTTTTTTTCCTATTATATTGACTTTTATATTGCCATTGTAGATCATGAGAAAAACATTTTAAAGGGAAGCAACAATGTTTACATTGATTCCAAGTCTGGCAGTCACTTAGAAATTAGATTCTTGCTCAGTTATATAGTCCTTTGTGCCTATTCTTAAATTTCAGCTTTTAGCCTCTTAAAATAAATGTCAACCTTCTTAGTTCAGTTTTCTGCCTTGTCAGCATATCACTGGCTCATGTTCTACTTTAATAAGAGAATACAGTGGAAGGTCTCTGCTTGTACTGTCAATGAAAATCTTTGTCTCTCTAGTTCCCTTGGCCTAAGCTGGTGTTCAGCTTCTTTCAACTTATTAATGCAGAATGCTGAAGTTTGAGTGTGATGCAGGCTTTGAAGAGTAGCCAGCACTTTGTAGGTTTGGATTTCTAGCTTATGCATAATTAGAAGCATGACCTCTCGATGAGCTGTATTTCCTGCATGACTTTAACATGAGGATTTTTTAAAATTGCATCCCCAATACAAGAGTTTCCTGGCCTCTGATGGAAATGTGGTATTGCGACAGCAGCTCTAAACTCCTTTGTTGATCTTTCAAGCATATGATGAATTGAGTATATGACACGGGAATGACTTGGACACTTGAAAAGGAGACCAGACCACCCGTGTGTTTGTGATGTTTCTTTAGGACCTTAGGGACTTTTTGGAGGGTATACTTAACAACTGCTGATGACATTGGATATATTTGAAAAGTTGATTTGAAGTCCTTCTGCCTTTCGCTCAGGCCTCATTATGCTGTGAGGTAGGTAAGAGCAACAATAATCTCTTTCTTGCTTTATGATCAGAATACCTTAGAAGGTAATTGAGATGGAACTGCTTATATTAAATTTCTTTCTGTAGCTCCTGGTGCCTAGGATAAGTCTCACTTTTCAGAGAGAAGTGATCACCACTGTAGTCTCCTGGGACTTTGGTCCAGCTTGTGATTTGGGGTGGATCATCGGCAATGTTCTCTAAACTTGGCTTTGAAAGACTATGGCAGGAACTTCCCAGAAATGAGGAACAAGAAGTGCTGAAGTCAGCCTTCTAGCTAGCTTTTTGAAAACAGCGATAATGCTGATTGATGATGTTTAATAGTGCTTGAAGCTGGTAATAACTGTGGACTAACTTGGGAACTAGAGGAATTTCTTAGGCACCCGTATTTCAGGACAAAGCTGATGCATGTAGATCAGACCAAGTCTCTCTTTTCCTTATTTCAAACATTTGGCCAGGGTTATTCAGGGACTTGCCCAGTCCTGTGTGCTGGGAGTCCCTTAAATACTCCATGCTCATTAATTGAGCCCAGACCTCACACCCATGCCCTTATCTCACCCTCTGCCTCCCTGCCTTGCCTCTGGCCATGGAATGTTGCAGGGATAATGCTAATTAGCTCACTTGGCTCCAGAAACTCCTTTATCACATTTATCAAACATTTACATGGTATTTTGTTTTGTTTTGTTTTTTAATCCTTACCCAGGACATTTTTGCATTTATCTTCAAATAGAACGGTAGGGAGAGAGGGAGGAAGAGAGAGAGAGAAATATGGAGTGGTTGCCACCTGCACAACCCCAACTGGGGCAGGGACAAACTGCAACCGAGGTGCATGCCCTTAGTGGGAACCGAACCCCGGACTCTCTGGTCTGCGGGCCGACGCTCTAACCGCTGAGCCAAACCAGGCAGGACACACATGGTGTTTTTAAGCACTGACACAACTTTTGCCATGGAAGACGGCGATCAGAACTGTCCTCTCCCTTCCACGTTGTCACAGCATGCGTATTTGTGTAACTCCCCGTTGTGAGAGGGCTGCCGGCTGGCCTGGGGACTGGGACCCTGGAGGATGGCAGCTGGCTGGGGAGTTACCCTGCGGGGTTGGGGAACTGTTTCTGAGGGCACATGATGAGGAGTAGGGTGTGGCTGAAACATGGGAGCTAAATCAAGAAGGTGACAGCCAGATGAACATATGAAGGGGGCAGGAGGAAGGCCCTGTACTGAGGACAGGGCTAGCATGCCCGGAGCTTTGGGTTTGTTTGGTAGCTTTTGCTCTTTGGTACATGGCGGAGTTGAAACAAAACATTACAAGACAAAACCAAAAATGTAGTGACTGAATGGATAATCCTAAATTGCATAAGTGTGTGTACAGTTTAGGCATCGCTCCTGATGGCCACCCTAAGGCAGAGAATACGGTTCTCTTACAGAGAATCAGACTGTGTCAATCCAGTGGCCACGCATTTTTAATATAATTATTTCATGGTCTCACTGTTGAGTGATGAGCTGGACAAAACATCAGTGTTTGGGGTTTACCTGGGATGATTTTCTGTGATTCGATGGGCTGAAGTTGGTGAGTTGATATTGTGAAACGTTGACCCAGAGAAATAGCTCAGCTTAGGGTACTTCTGAGATGCTGCCCTTTAGTTTCCAATTCTAAATAGCTCAGGGCCTTTTTAAATTTAGATCATAAAGTATTAGAACTGGGACGGAGTTTTATGTCACTTCTTTTGATGCTTTCCTGTAGCCAAGTCATTATTCATTCATTTGTTCTTTTGCTGTTTGTTTCATTATCTACAGTGTGGAAAACCACTCAGCAGAGGATATACTGAAAAGAGGTTAAATGTATCAAATATAAGACACAAATCTCTTAGATTTTAATCCTGTTGTGATCTGTTAACATACTATGAACACTGAGCTTTTTTGTTAATTACGTTTATTTGAAACTTTGTTTTGATGAAGGCATGATATCAGAAACAGATAAGGGCAGCATTGAGTAGTAACTGGTTTTTCAGTAGGTGTTAGACTTGCTACTTATAATTTTTTTCTAGAATTAGAGGTTCTAGTTGGATTGCATATTCTCAATAAAGCTAGTCCCCATTTTTGTGTTAGTTTATTTAAAAATGTAAATAAAGCCCTGGCTGGTTTGGCTCAGCTGTTAGAGCGTCAGCCTGTGGTCCAGAGAGACCCGGGTTTGGTTCCCGCTAAGGGCATGTACCTCAGTTGCGGTTTGTCCCCGGCCCTGGTTGGTCCTGCGGGTGGCAGCCACTCGATGTGTCCCTTTCATATTGATGTTTCTCTTTCTCTCTCTCCTCTTCCTCTCTCTTCCTCTCTCTCCCTCCCACTCTACCTGAACAAAAAATGGAAAAATGTCCTCGGGTGAGGATAAAAAAATAAAAAATAAACAACAAAAAAAGATTTAAAAAAATAAAAATGTAAATAAATATAAATTCAGTTTTGCTTGCCTTTAATTGATTTATTACATAACTAGAATAATTTGCTTTGACTTCTCCACTTTTTCATATAATCATTGTGTTTGTATTTTCTAAAAATACATAACTCCTTTTTCATTTCCTTTAGAACCAAAAAAAAAAATAGGCAAAGTAAATTATATTTCTCAGTTTAAAACAAACACATTAGGAAATTCTAAAACAAAGGTCATCATGCTCCCATATTAGCAGCAACCTGTTTTCTCTCTCTCTCTTTCTCTTTTTTAACAAAAAGAGCTTTTATGAAACTGTTAATAATTGTAACTTTGTTCAGTATTACATATTTCTTAAAATATGGCTGCTTTCCAAATACCACAAATAGTTTCAATCATTTTATCGGCTAGAGATCTTTTTAAATGGAATCATTGGTTAATTCTGAAAGCAGCTGAAACTCAGAGTTTATAATCTTTTAAATGGTGACTCAGAGTTTGTTAAATTACAAAGAAAATTGCAGCCGGCTGTTTCCTGATAGTCGAGAACTCAGCAATGAAAGGGGATGACGCGCAGTTCCTTCAGCCGGACTGGAAGCCAGTTTCAAACTCGAACAAAACACACTTAGCAGCTCAGCTGACAGTTTTCAACTCCGGGTGTGTAGAAAGTTCCTTTCTCTTTGGTCTACAGGTCTTTTCTATCCAGTGGATACATTCCAGATAGCCCAGAATCTTTTATATGGGGTTTATTCAGCCTGTAAGAAGGGGTCCTTGCTGTTTCACATGCCAAAGCATGTTGGCATTCTGTTCCCTTCTCCCCGAGAAGAAGCTGAGCTCAGGGCACCTCTGCATGTGGGGTGAGCCGGCAGTGGTGAAACCCGGCGGGACAAGATATTGTTAACTGATGAGCAGTAGATGGATGACCAGGACCTTTGAGGGTTCAACAGCACTAAGAAATGTTCCTAAGTAGATGAAAGAATGTAATTGGAAGAGAAGAGTGAAGAGGAGCGTGGAGGAAGGTATAAAGGACAGGACATCTCTGTGTTCAAGTCAATGAGAGGGGACTTAGCAGTGTGAACAAAGCCTGAGTTATCCTTCTATGTGGACCTACACTTTGGGGTACAGCCCTCAGCTTCCCTGCCTTGTTGCTTTTTTTTTTCTTTTTCAGCTCCCTTCCCTTTTATTTGCAAGCAAATTTCCTCTTTCCTGGGCTTGAATCTGCATCGCTCAGGGTGCCAGCCGGCGCCACAATAGGTCATTGTCCCGCGAGTGCCGCCTTTCCGGCCGCTCTGCCAGCCCCGCCAAGGAGGGACAGAGGGTCTTTCTCCGGCGGGCCGCGCTGTGTGCTGGGCCGCCGCCTGGCCCTTCGAAGACATCTCCATGCTGTGTTCTCTCTGACTGAGGAGTACGCGGTCGTCCGGTCACTCCTTGCTCTGAGGGTTCTTTCTGTGCCAACAGGGAGAGAGATGACTTCATGTCGGCGCTGGTGTCCGCACGGGCCAGCGTGGCGGGCGCGCAGCGGAGGGAGGCCAGCGCCTACGAGCAGGTGAAGCGGGCCGTGCAGATGACGGAGGAAGCCAGCCTGGAGAAAACCAAGGCGCGTCTCCCAGGATGAGCAAGTACCTTCGAGTATTTCCCCGCTTACTCTTCCGTAACTAAGCTCTCTCTTCGAAACGCGCGAAGTGAATGCCAATCTGTGCATGTTAACTTCGCTGAATGAAACAAATTTGCCATTTGGAGAGGTCTCAGTCCTCTGCAAATACTTTTGCGATATCACTGTTCCCAGAACATAGTACACTGTGGTTGAGTACTTTGAGAGGCTTGTATGCTTCATCTTTTTATTTGCTGATAATTTTTTTAATTTTTTTTTTTTATTGAGTTTTGAGAGAGAGAGAGAGGAAGGGAGAGAGAAATAGAAACATCCATCACTGCCTCCTGCATACCCCCTACTGGGGATCGAGCCTGCAACCGGACGGGAATCAAACCGGGACCTCTCAGTCCATGAGACGATACTCTGTCCCCTGAGCCACACCGGCCAGGCAATTGCTGATAATTTTTAATGTTGTTAAAATCTTAACATGCATATATACATGTTCATGTATGACTAAAGACAAATGTTTTTTCTCTGTACACGGGGAATTTTGAGAACATTCAAATATGCCACAGATAATAATGGATGTGTATTTAATAGCACCCTTAGCTATGAGACAGGACCCACTGTGTACTACACCAGACATGTTTAGTGGTAATGACGATGACAGTGAGTTAACACTTAGTGATCAGGCAGTGTTGTAGGGACTTCGAATAACAGCAGTGACCGTTGGTTCATTGCTATGTTTGGGGGCCACACCTTAGTCCATTCAAGACGCACTGGCCACTTGTAGCTTCGATTACTGTGTCAGACAGTGCGGACACAGCCAGAACATTTCCGGCATCACAGAAAGTTCTAATGGTCAGCATTAGTCTAAGCCACATCGTAGCATCAGTGTTTTACTGAAGGACTGGGCTCCTCTCCGGGAAGCCTCCTCCCAGTCACTGCCTTACCATTTGTCTCTCTATCAAGTTCATCCCCAGCTCTTCCCAGACCATTTGTCCATCGCTCTTTTCATAAATGTCTTCCAAAACTGATGTTTGGTTCTGACCAAACCCCCCACCAGACTTTTTTGTTTCCTTCAACACTTCTGTTTCATTTGTACTGAGGTCGTGTTGTGCCTTTTTCGTATGATGACCCTCAGAACCTCCAGTGAAGGCCCTTTGCGGCTTGTTTCATTCCTCCGCTGACGAGGGCGGGTCAGCATTCATTCATCTGGCTCCTGACGGCCGTGCCCAGGCTTTGCTTTGGCACCTACTTTCAGCTTCCAGTCTCCTTTGAGATCATTGCTGTCTGTCCTCTCCCTGATTTCAGTCAGTGTCAACTGTCAGTCTGGACGACACTATTTGACACTCTTTTTTTTAAAGAGTTGCATCCATTGGATTAATCGGGTTTATAAAATAGTTGTTCATGGGGTTTATAAAATCTTTGACACTTTTTAAGAGCTTCAGCATCTGCCCCTTTCCCCCCGGTCTTAGTCCACTGAGGCTGCTATAACAAAAACACCCCCGACTGGGTGGCTCAAACAGGTGTTTATTTCTCTCAGTTCTGGAAGCAGACAAGTCCAAGACCAGGGCTCTGGCAGATCCGGTGTCTGGTGAGACCCACTTCCTGGTTCGTAAACAGCATCTTCTCCCTTCATCCTCACTTGGAGGGCGGGGTGAGGGTGCTCTCTGGGGCCCCTTTTGTATAAGGGCACTAATCCCATTCACGAGGGCTCCACCCTCCTGATCTGATCGTCTCCCAAAGGCCCCCCCTCTTCACACCATCAGTGGGAGGGCAGGGGTCAACATATGAATTTTGGAGGGACACGGGTATTCATTCTGCAGCATTCTCCACCTTATCGCCTTTCATCAGCCTTAAAAATGTACATGTCCACATTGTTACTATATGTACACCTTCGTCTCCAGAGTCCCAACACACTGTGGCTTCCTTAGCTCTGTTGTCCCCGTTCTGCTGTGACTCCCACATCAGCGTCCATGCGCCCTCAGCTCCCCTCCCAGTTAAATCTGCTCAGTGTCCTCATTCCTGCCGTTAGTCGTCCGGCCTCCTCTCGTGTCTCATTTTATCTGCTGTCTGCAGGCTGTTCTTCCCTTTCCACTTCAGTATGAATTTCACAATCCCAAACTGAACTCAAGAGAGTCACTCCCCCAAACCGCTGTGTTCCCTGCTTGCTGAATGGCCCCTCTGTCCACTGACGTGCCCTGGCGGGAAACATGACTCTCATCCCCCTCATGCCTGACTCCAGCCAATCGCAGGCGCTGGCGTTCATTTCTGAGGTGGTTGGAATTCTTTCCTCTCTGTCGCCCTGCTTTCTCAGGCCATTGTGATCTCCGGATTCCTGAGATATGACAGCCTCATGCCCCTTTCTCCCCCCATTCCCTGCAGCCAGAGTGGCCTTCTTGCAGGCAGACTGTGCCATGGACTGCCGTGTCAGCTCCGGGGCTCCCCGGTACCTTCGCTGTGCCTGGGGCTGTCACATGAGCTTCCTCACTGGGAGGGCGGTCACGTTTAGCCAGTGGGCATGGTCATTATCGAGCTAGACAGACCTAGCTTCCCCTTCCAGCCCCACTACCCCCAGCCGCCTGACGTAGGGCAAGTTCCTGAATTCTCTGTGCCTCGGTTTCCCTCATCTGTAAAGGGGAGATACTGTCCGACTCATCGGATTGTCCATGGGAACTGCATTTTTAAATGCTCATATTGGTTATTTTGTAGAAACTTGGCCACAGACTATTTTCTCAGTAAGTAGTGGTGGTGGTGATGGTGACTGTGAATTCCCCTGATTACGCTCTGTTCTGGCCAGCATCCGGGCCTTCATACCTGCCATGCAAATCCTTCTTCCCTCCCCTGCCGGGCTCTCCTCTACCTTTCGGGTCTTAGCTTGCGTGCCACACTCCCTAGAAAGTCTCTGCTCCCCCGTCCAGATGTGATGGAACTCTTCTGCACCTTTTACAGCAGGTTTCTCAACCTGGGCACTGTGGACATTTAGGGCTACATTAATTCTTCATTTTGTCTTACACGTTGCACGGTGTTTAGCAGCCTCTCTGGTCCCTACCCACTAGATGCCAGGACCACACCCCCTTCCCCGAGGTCTGACAACCACAAATGTCTCTAAACATTGCCAGATGTCCCCTGGGGGGTGGAGGGGCATAATTGCCCCCAGTTAGGAACCTCTCCTCATTACAGCATTTTCCAGAGGAATCATTATTGCTTATTTGCCCGTACGCTTCATTAAGCTTTAACATCTCTGGAAGGAATGCATCCATCTGTTCTCTATTAAATCCTTAGCATCTTGCACAGTGCTTCGCACGTACTAGGTGCTCATTAAATATCCCCTGACTAAGGGAATTGCAGCCTGTCCTCACTCACGCTAGAATTCCTCTACTCTTACTTCCCAGTCCACCTACTTAGCCATGCCAGTGAGGGTCCAGGCCAGTCGGGTGTTTGTGTGTTTTCATCATTACTGTCAGCCCATGAAGCATGGCTGAAGGAGCCATTGAACAGAGCCCACTGGAGAGCAATGCTGGTCTCCTTCGCTGGTTATGAGTTCGTTTAACAATCCTCACATACTTCAGATGGGGATTTCACCTGCCCCATTCCCCAGCTCTGCTCTTGGCCCCTTGTTCTCAGTAGATGACCACTTGGCTAAGCTCACAACCCGCTGACCAGAGCCTCCTCGGCCCCTTCCCATCCCTCGAGTGTGTCTCCTCCTCCTCGGCCCCTTCCCATCCCTCGAGTGTGTCTCCTATTCTTCTTTTCTTGCTTACCTGATCCTCGTATTTCCCAAGACGACTCTCTTTCCCTCAGTCTTGATATCGCCTGCTTGTGGGGTTTCAGGGACCCTGCGCTGTTTGCCATTACTTCTTTATCTTTCGTCCTCCCCTCTTCCCTGTTTCCCCCTCATCTAAACATCTGTTGCTCTTGCTTAAACCAACACAAAGTAGTCAACTTCCGCTTAATGTAGCCCCGCCTCGCTGCCCTTCCCTGCAGACCTGGTGAGTCTCCTGCTGGACACGCTGCAGCCAGGCTTTGAGCGGCCTGTCGCCTGTTGTCTGAGTCAGGCTGTTGCCCTGCGCCCTCCAGGGTCACCAGCCCGTCCCGCTGGAAACCCAGTGACCTCATCGCAGTTCTCATCTGACACAACTCTGCGGTCCCGGGAGTCTTGAGCTGCCCTCTCCTAGCGAATCGTCTTTCCCTCGACGGGTCTGAGCTTTTTCTCTTCTGCTTCTCTTAGTCTGTTTTCCCTCGACGCAGACCTTCCTTCCCCGTGTCCCTGCATTCCTGGGGACGTGTGTCTTCCTTCATGGCCACGCCAGTCCCTTCGTGTGAACACCCCCACGAGGTGCTCGCAGCACTAACTGGTCTCCTGCGCGCCAGGCGCCCACCTGAGGCTACCAGAACTCTTTACGATTGTACTTCACAGAGTCTGAAACTACAGCCCAAGGAGCCGTTCTCCCCTCTTCCTGCCCACCACTCCCTGTCCTTCCTCTGGTGCGCCATTGCTACGTAAGTGGCCAAGTGAAGAATACAGTGACAGATGGCACTGACGTTAAGGTACCATTTTCTGTTACCTTTTTTCGATAATGGCATCACTATCTATCTTACCGACAGCACTGGCTTGCATCCTTCAAACATCTTGGATGTTCCCCGTCCCTCACTCTTGACGTAGTGTCCTTGCTGGGCTGTCCCCTCTCTCCTCAGAGTCCCTCACTGCGCTGTGCCCGCCCTGCTGGTGCCGTGCCCTGCTTGGTTCATGCCCTGGGCCTCGCATCCTCTTACGCAAATGTGCAGACGATTACCACAGCCTTCTAAGTCGGTCCCCTCGGGTCTCTTCCGGTGCCCGTGTATCTGTCACAGCGATGCCAGTCTTCCTGAGCCGGAACTCCCTGCCCAGCTGCGTCCCCTCCAGCAGCAGAATACAAGACGGATCCTTAGCATGACCTTCCAGGTCGGCCACCACATGCCCCACTCGACTTTTCTGTCCTTAGCTTTCACTGTGCGCTTTC